CAGAGAGAAAAGGGAGAGCGTTTTGAAATCTTAAAAGCACAAAAGGAAAAATACAAGAACGAGTGGATGTAACTCTTTTTTGATAGGGTGAACCACTATAAATCCGTGTGTCTTTCTACTTTCGCTTCAACAACAAATCAATACATCTTTCAAAATAACTAAAAAATAAACACTATCAGTTGCATAAATCCAAAAAAATTAGTTTTGGTCGGTAACCCAACAGACCGCTAAGAGGTAATCCCGCGCAATCTTGTTGTCAAAATTTCACCGTCAACAATTGGCGACTCCATAGGGTACCGAACCCAAAATCTCTAGTTCGTGTGTTTAGTATCCGAGACGACTAAGAAATAACCAATGCACATGCCTCCGAGAAGAGGGAAAAGCGGCGCCGCGAATCAAGGTTGCCAAACGGAGGAGAACGCCATGCATCCGGCCAACGATGGGGGCGGGGGAGATCAACCCGACCAGGGGAATGAACCCCTGGTGAAGATTGAAACTCTGCCCCCGGGTATGCCACAGCTTGACCCTCGGGTATGCCACAAGGATGGGACAGCTCCACCAGGGAAACGTTTGAGAATGACAACTGTTGTGTAAGAAAATATGCATTGACACGTCGGATGATGACCATACTCCACGTGGCCCAAAACCCGCCACGTCAGGTAGCCATTGACGCTTAAAGCTCATTTCCCCCTCCGTCATATGGTGAAAAGGCCGACCGTATGGGACGATTCATACAACCGTCGACCCTACTATAGTGTAGGCGCAGAAGCGGTACCATAAAGGGGTCAACCAAGACATAGGTCGTGCCCTGTGAAGTATAGTGTAGGCGCAAAGGGTAGAATGCATGAATATACGTCCACGTCCCAAGAAAGACCTCTGAGGTGACCAGGGAAAATCCTTAGGTTACGTATGAGTTTGGAGAAGGTCAGTAGCACATGAAATGATTACCTGCCCATAAATCGCCTAGAACGGACCAATGAAAATCACAGAGGATCCGCAGAGCTGCAATAGTGGACAAAGTGGGTGAGTGAACAGTCCAAAAGGTACTGAGAAGCTACGGTCTAGGCATGTAGGATAATAGGCTACTTGAGAGAAACCATCAGACCCCCCTGTGACGGTCCGCCTAAAAAAGACCCATATGTAATCTGTAGGCTATAAAAAGGGTAAAGCCCCAGAGAGAAAAGGGAGAGCTTTTTGTAATCTTAAAAGCACAAAAGGAAAAATACAAGAACAAGTGGATGTAACTCTTTGTTGATAGGGTGAACCACTATAAATACGTGTGTCTTTCTACTTTCGCTTCAACAACAAATCAATACATCTTTCAAAATACCTAAAAAATAAACACTATAAGTTGCATAAATCCAAAAAAATTAGTTTTGGCCGGTAACCCAACGGACCACTAAGTGGTAATCCGGCGTAATCTTGTTGTCGAAATTCCACCGTCAACAATTGGTGACTCCACTGGTGACCGAACCCAGAATCTCTGGTTCGTGTGTTTAGGATCCGAGACGACTAAGAAATAACCAATAACCATGCCTCCGAGAAGAGGGAAAAGTGGCGCCGTGAATCAAGGTTGCCAAACAGAGGAGAACGCCGCGCATCCGGCCAACGGTGGGGGTGGGGGAGATCAACCAGACTAGGGGAATGAACCCCCGGTGAGGAATGAAACTCCGCCCCCGGGTATGCCACAGCTTGACCCTCGGGTATGCCACAAGGATGGGACAGCTCCACTAGGGAAACATTTGAGAATGACAACTGTTGTGTGGGAAAATATGCATTGACACGTCAGAGGACGACCGTGCTCCACGTGGCCCAAAACCTGCCACATCAGCTAGCTATCGATGCCTAAAGCTCATTTCCCCCTCCGTCATATGGTGAAAAAGCCGACCGTATGGGACGATTCATACAACCGTCAACCCTAGTATAGTGTAGGCACAGAAGCGGTACCATAAGGGGGTCAACCAAGACATAGGTCGCACACTGTGAAGTATAATGTAGGCGTAGAGGGTAGAATGCATGAATATAGGTCCACGTCCCAAGAAAGACCTCTGAGGTGACAAGGGAAAATCCTTAGGTTACGTATGAGTTTGGAGAAGGTCAGTAGCACAGGAAATGATTACCTGCCCATAAATCGCCTAGAACGGACCAATGAAAATCACAGAGGATCCGCAGAGCTGCAATATTGGACAAAGTTGGTGAGTGAACTGTCCAAAAGGTGCTTAAAAGCTACGGTCTAGGCATGTAGGATAATAGGCTACTTGAGAGAAACCATCAGAAAACCCCCTGTGACGGTCCGCCTAAAAAAGACCCATATGTAATCTGTAGGCTATAAAAAGGGTAAAGCCCCAGAGAGAAAAGTGAGAGCTTTTTGTAATCTTAAAAGCACAAAAGGAAAAATACAAGAACGAGTGGATGTAACTCTTTTTTGATAGGGTGAACCACTATAAATCCGTGTGTCTTTCTACTTTCGCTTCAACAACAAATCAATACATCTTTCAAAATACCTAAAAAATAAACACTATAAGTTGCATAAATCCAAAAAAATAATTAGTTTTGGCCGGTAACCCAACAGACCACTAAGAGGTAATCCGGCGCAATCTTGTTGTCGAAATTCCACCGTCAACAATTGGTGACTCCACTGGGGACCGAACCCAAAATCTCTGGTTCGTGTGTTTAGGATCCGAGACGACTAAGAAATAACCAATGACCATGCCTCCGAGAAGAGGGAAAAGTGGCGCCACGAATCAAGGTTGCCAAACACAGGAGAACGCAGCGCATCCGGCCAACGGTGGGGGCGGGGGAGATCAACCCGACCAGGGGAATGAACCCCCGGTGAGGAATGAAACTCCGCCCCCGGGTATGCCACAGCTTGACCCTTGGGTATGCCTCAAGGATGGGATAGCTCCACTAAGGAAACGTTTGAGAATGACAACTGTTGTGTGGAAAAATATGCATTAACACGTCGGAAGATGACCATGCTCCACGTGGCCTAAAACTCGCCACGTCAGGTAGCCGTTGACACCTAAAGCTCATTTCCCCCTCCGTCATATGGTGAAAAGGCCGACCGTATGGGACGATTCATACAACCGTCGACCCTACTATAGTGTAGGCGCAGAAGCGGTACCATAAGGGGGTCAACCAAGACATAGGTCGCGCCCTGTGAAGTATAGTGTAGGCGCAGAGGATAGAATGCATGAATATAGGTCCACGTCCCAAGAAAGACCTCTGAGGTGACAAGGAAAATCCTTAGGTTACGTATGAGTTTGGAGAAGGTCAGTAGCACAGGAAATGATTACCTGCCCATATATCGCCTAGAACGGACTAATGAAAATCACAGAGGATCCGCATAGCTGTAATAGTGGACAAAATGGGTGAGTGAACAGTCCAAAAGGTGTTGAGAAGCTACGGTCTAGGCATGTAGGATAATAGGCTACTTGAGAGAAACCATCAGAAAACCCCTTGTGATGGTCCGCCTAAAAAAGACCCATATGTAATCTGTAGGTTATAAAAAAGGTAAAGCCCTAAAGAGAAAAGGGAGAGCTTTTTGTAATCTTAAAAGCACAAAAGGAAAAATACAAGAACGAGTGGATGTAACTCTTTTTTAATAGGGTGAACCACTATAAATCCGTGTGTCTTTCTACTTTCGCTTCAACAACAAATCAATACATCTTTGATAATACCTAAAAAATAAACACTATAAGTTGCATAAATCTAAAAAAATAATTAGTTTTGGCCGGTAACCCAACGGACCACTGAGAGGTAATTCGGCGCAATCTTGTTGTCAAAATTTCACTGTCAACAATTGGCGACTCCACTGGGGACCGAACCCAGAATCTTTGGTTCGTGTGTTTAGGATCCGAGACGACTAAGAAATATCCAACGACCATGCCTCCGATAAGAGGGAAAAGCTGCGCCGCGAATCAAGGCTGCCAAACGGAGGAGAATGCGCATCCGGCCAAAAGTGGGGGCAGGGGAGATCAACCCGAACAGGGGAATCAACCCCCGGTGAGGAACGAAAGTCCACCCCCGGGTATGCCAGAACTTGACCTCGTACAAATGCATGCACAGTTGAATGCTCTGACCGACTTGGTTTGAGGGCTGTTGACCACCCTTGACCGAATGGACGGGAGAGGCTCCATGCCCCCTCTAGAGGACGCCCCGAGACCACCGAATGCCACCGTGGCTAGGAACCAGAATGCTGGTGACCATCGTGGTGCCTTGGAAGGGATCGGGGAAAGTGAAAATGCCACAGGGATAACTCGAGGCCTCGACTGTCCAAATCCCTCGGCAGCCGACAAAGGGCCGCCAGGCGACGAGCCTAGGAGAAATGAGCAGTCGGAGGCCTGGAGAACCTTGAAGCGCCACCTCGAAACCAGGATAAGAATATCCCAGGGGATTCAAGGTCGGTGCAGAAGGGCAGAGATATGAGAAACAAGCTAGATGCCAAGAAGGCAGAAGCCTTAAAAGGGCCGGTTCTGCAATCGCAATAGAAGAGGCAAAGGCCATCATGGAACGCATGGCGAGCTGAAAAGAAAAACTTACAGGTGATGTCACCGGCTTAAAAAAAGATGTAAAAAGTCAGGTGACTCACCTTCAAAAGCACCTAGGACAGGTGGCGGAGGTGATTAATGTCGACATCCCTCCTAGTCGAACCCATAACCACCATTTTATCACATAAATCATGGCACAACCTTTTCCAAACAAATACAAGTCCCCTAAAAAAAAGAAAAAAAGAATTTAGTTGAATGTAAAATAATTTAGTTTACAATAATTTAATTTTTTTTTTTTTTTTTTTTTTTTTTTTTTTTTTTGTTGTTGCAATAATTTAGTTTCCAGCAAAAAAAAGAAAAAAAGTAAAATAATTTAGTTGAATATTGAGAAAACAAGAGTTGAATGGCACGTGTTGGTAATAGTTGAGAAAGGCATGTGCGAATATGCCAAAGATTGAGAGCTCTATAAAAGGGGTCTTGGCCAACAAATGAATCTACAAGTGGAGCCAACAAAGGAAGAAATTAACCAAAACGGTTTGCGAAACTTAAGGAATCCTTTTCAGAAAATTTAGTGATTATGGTTGTAGAAGAAGGGCTTGATGAGTATAGTCAAGACGGGACTGTGGATCTTAAAGGAAACCCTGTTCTTAGATCCAACAGAGGTGGATGGACTGCCTGTTCCTTTGTTGTTGGTAATATAATCTCTCTCTCTCTCTCTCTCTCTCTCTAAGAAATTAACCAAAACGGTTTGCGAAACTTAAGGAATCCTTTTCAGAAAATTTAGTGATTATGGCTGTAGAAGAAGGGCTTGATGAGTATAGTCAAGACGGGACTGTGGATCTTAAAGGAAACCCTGTTCTTAGATCCAAGAGAGGTGGATGGACTGCCTGTTCCTTTGTTGTTGGTAATATAATCTCTCTCTCTCTCTCTCTTAGTATTCTTTATACAAACACACACAGGAGAAGTATAGATAACTTAGGACCCGTTCACTTCATTGATTCGAATTTGTAATTCGAGTTGAGATGTAATTTTATGTAAGAGTTTTTTACTGTAACAAAAAAGTTAGATGTGACTGTTTCTGAAAATTTTTTATTGTAACAAAATTTAAATTTTAAACTCGAATCGACGAAATGAACGGGACCTTATATTCTGAGAATCTCATATCTACTAAAGTTATTGGCTAAATATTTAAGATGAAGGCTAGTTGTGAATTAGTGTGTGAAATGAGACATTTTTTTAGACTAATATAAGCATAATATTGAAAAAAAAGAGCACAATATTCTGAAAGTGGTTAAAGATTGGGCGAATATTTGAGACCCATTTAATTTATTGATTTGAATTTTTAATTTGAATTAAGATGTGATTTTATGTGAATTTTTTACTGTAGTGAAAAAATTAAATGTGACTGTTTCTGAAAATTTTTTACTATAACAAAACTCAAATTTTAAATTCAAATCAATGAAATAATAAGGACCTTAATACTCTTTTTATTTATTTATTTGTTTTTTTCAGTGTGTCTTCAACATGCCACAAAATGACCAATCCCATCTATTTCCCTGCTCTCTCTCCAATTATTACGCTAATTAAAACATTTATTTCCCACAAATACCAACCATTAGATATATAGAACTAGGTGCTTTTACACCAACCGATTTTCTGTCTCTCATTACACACTTGTAGATCCGTTCACTTTGTATATTTAAATTTTTAATTTAAGTTAAGATATAATATTTTTTAAAAAATTTTAATTATAATAAAAAAATTAAATGTGATATTTTTAAAAAAATTATAAAATGAACAATAATCTCTTTTTCTCTCTACGTAGAAACTCGAACACACATATATATGACTTTTGTTTTTGTACGTGTTCACTTTTTCTTTTGGTTCACGAGAAATTTTTAGGTACACGTTAAAGCTAGAAAACTACTATTTTTGTGAGGTATAATCACTCTAATGAGTACCTTATATAGTGCTGACCGTTATATATAGAACAATATTTTTTCTACAAATACAAATTTAGGCTTGTTTTTTTGGATTAAAATTAAAAAAAAATTAGACTCAAGTTATAATTTTATTTAAATTTATATTCTTTTGTAAATTTTGAGTTTGAACTCGAGTTTTAATTTGAATTTATGGTTAAAATATGAGGTTAAGTTTCCTCTTCAATTCAAGTTCTTAAACTCAAACTCAAGTTAATAAATAATATTTTTTCTATTCTTAAAAACACCATAACTTTTTCGTTTTAATTCCGATTGAGATATTTTTCTTTTCTATGCGTTTACAACAAAGAGACGAATAAAATTTCATCCATATACTCTATTAAAATTTTTCATCACCATTGAGTTTTTATTAAAATATTATCTAAATAGAAATTCAAGTTTTTACCCACCTAAACACAAATTTAAATAGATTCTTAATTCAAATCATAATTCAAATGTGCACATCAAAATACAAACTTAAGTTACAATTTTAACTCAAATTATAACTTAAATTTAACTTAAAATTTATATTTAAATTACCATAACTCAAAATTACAACCGAAGAAGTCCTGAATTTTTGTCGTCCTTTCTGAGCCTCCCCCAGTCTCCCTTACAGTACTACTAAATGCATTGTACTAGTCGGCATTCATTAATTATCAACCATCTCTTTGTAAGTTTGTAGGGTTTTTTTTTAATTAAATAATCTCTCTGTAGTTCCCAGCTAGTATAATTACGTCAAAAGGATGGGTCACCAAAAATATCCAAAGCTGGAGCTAGACACCAATTCAAAATTATTAAAAAAAAAAATCGTAATTACTAACTTGTACATAGACCCTCATGATGAGTTCATGATGTTGTTGCACCCACGTGAGATTTTCTAATTAATGATTATGCAAAGATAATCGCGCATTAGTTGTCATGACTCATAACTCATCTACGCACGTATATATCATATATAATATATATGTGTATATATACGCATACACGCACACACACACACATATATATATATATTATATAGGGAAAAATTATTAGAAGATCGGACCCAATATTAAATTTTTTTTTAACAGTCGTATCACGCAAGTATAACAACATGATATTTTTTATCTGTTGAATAGAAATAATTTCATAAATAGTTTCTGAAATTTACTTTTAATTTTATTTTAATTTCTGACTTTTTAAATGTCAAACAATTGGAATCTGAAGTTTTAGGCATCGTTCACTTCGCGGATTTGAGTTTTCAATTCGAGCTGAGATGTGACATTTTCTGAGAACTTTTCACTGTAGCAGAAAAAGTTAGATGTGATATTTTCTAAGAATTTTTTACTGTAGAAACTTAAAACTGAAAACTCGAATCGGTGAAATGAACAAGACTAGTTTGTTTCAGTTTCAATCCTTCCGTTAACTAAACGTTAAAATTTGATGGAATATGTGTAAATTAAGGACTAAAATTGTAAACATCTAAAAGCATGTTCTTTTGTCCAAAAAACTCAAAAAAAGACAACTTGAGTTTCAACTTTATTCAAGTTCACGTTTTTTTAAATTACAACTTTATTCAACTTTACTCAACTTTATTCAAGTTACAACTTCAACTCAAGTTATAACTCAAATTTAACTCAAAAATTACACTCAAGTCACACTCCAAAAGAACAACCCCTAAGATTTTGAGATTCTGTGGAAATTAACTTATCTTTTTGAATCGTTTTTGTCCTTAAATTTTATATGTTTCTAATTTTTGTCTCTAATTCTTACAGATTATGTTAAATATTTAACATTAAATTAAAAAAAGGATTGAAATTGAAACAAAGTAAAACTTTTGGATTAATTGTGAGACGTTTTAAAAATTAGAGACTAAAGTGAGATTGAGCGTAAACTTGAGGGATCATTTGTGAGATTAACCTATATGGATAGATATAAAAATTCCCAAGTTTTTCTTTCTTCACTTAATATGTTTGATATTTGTTTTGGTGTTTTGTTTGACAAATTGTGTAGTGTACGAAGTGTTTGAACGCATGGCGTATTACGGTATACAGTCAAATTTGATTATATATCTAACAAAGAAACTCCATCAAGGCACAGTCACTTCCTCTAACAATGTCACCAATTGGGTTGGCGCCATTTGGTTGACTCCTATTTTGGGTGCATATATCGCGGACGCTCATCTGGGTCGTTATTGGACATTCATCTGCTCATCCATAATCTATCTCCTGGTATGTATTTTGATGATCATGTCTACATTAATATAATATGCTTGTTACACATATTGTATATATTACATATATAAGGACGAGTTTTTAATGGTTACTTTCTATATTATCAATATAGAAAATTAATGATTAGCGTGATAAGAATAGAATCTCATAAATTATTATAATTTATTTTAATTAACTATTCAATTTTATTATAACTGTCAAATTAATATTTTACAGTTGAAATAATAATACTTAAAACCACATGTATAAATATGTAACACAACTTGATATTGGCAAGAGTACTTTTCATTCATGATTTAGATTTACAAGGATCAGTGCATCAATGTATAGATGACATAGACCCAGTGTACAGCTAATATATAGATTTCTACAATTTCCTACATTCAATCTAATGACACTTACAGCTCAACAACACATTATTGCAATAAACGTAATTGTTTTGTCTGTTTTTTTTTTTTTTTTTTAAGTTTTCAGGAAATATCTCAAATTTCTGAAAGCTGTAAAGTATGCATGAATCTTCTCATTTCCACATAAAAATTAAAGCTCCCATTTGGTAAATAAATTGCATATTATATATATTCTGGGAAAAAGTGAAGTCTTGGACTAATTAGTTTACTCGTTTTTACTATAACGATAGATAGATATATGAATAACTATAAAATTAAAATACTATTTAAGAGTTAAATTTGGTAAAGAAATGGTGGGAAGATGTGCTTGGTCTGGGGTTCGAAAGCTATTGACTTGGAAATTTATGCATAGTAGGAAGACGTCGTCATCAGTACAGCATACTTTGCTAAGTGTGTATATATATATATATATATATATATATATTATTGTGTACTCATGAAGATGATTTATTAATTAATGAATTCGATGAAGACAAAAATACACAAGGGACCGCTGTTTTCAAACGTTACCAAGTTGAGTTTTGTTTGGTTGTGTTGCGTGGTCCTAAGTTATAGAATACAGAGCTAACAATATTTTTTTGTAGTTTTGTCTTTAGTCAACAAATGTACTGCTCATTTGTTACATTTGTTCGAGGATAAGATATGCGTGAGCAAGTGGTTAGAAGAACGGAAAAATTATCAAATAATTAATAAGCAAGTCGGATGTTGTTGAGAATTCCACCTAGAAAAATAAATTAAGGGGGAAAAAGAAAAACCCACATGCAGACACCGGTTGGCGATACTCGTGTGTGTATATATCACTACAATATTATTTATATAAGTTAGGGGTATCACTGTAATATTCTCCACATAATATTATGATAAAAAAGAATTATAAGAGTAATATCCTGGTTTAACTGGATAATCTTAGGACGAACTATACTGATACCCTTGTGTTTTATTGAAAATAAAGAAACACTCCTTGATCTTAAAAATTTTGCATTAATATATCCTATTCTTAACTCTATTAACTTTAGATATAAAATGACAAAAATATCTCAATTAATCTCGACCATCCAAGAACAGTACTCAATCTTTTACGTCGATCGTAATTTTTTTTTTTGGTTTTTTTTGAAAAAAAAAAAAAAAAAAAAAAAAAAAAAAAAAAAAACCCTAGCCTTAGCTCTCATCCCCCATCACTTATCCCCAATTTCCTACCTCTAGCAAGCCATCATGTGGTGTCCCCTCACAAGCACCGGAGTCCCCATTATTTGAGCCCCATGTAGAGCTCCCACAAATTACCCCAAACTCCTGCGCGAGTCCTCCAGCAACCCTAGCTATCCCACATGGCAAGGCCCCCTCCCCCCGGCGCGTGCTCAAGGTCGCCGCCTCGCCCTCCCTTATGCAATCACTAGAGTCGCCACCTCGCCCCTAGTGCATCCGCCACCAGTGCTACTCTTTTATATTGTGTATGTATTTTAGGAAAAACAGTTTCATTTTGTATGAAATTAGTTTGTCTATTATAATTTTATAAATTATGTGAAATTAGTTTTCTTTTATGTGATGTATATGTGTATCGAAATTAATTTGTGTGAAAATAAGTTTGATTTTATGTAAAATTATGTTAAATTTTGGAAATTAGTAAGTTTATTATCAGAAATTGGTGAAATTTGGTTGATATTTGTTTTTTTTGAATAAAAGTTCGATTTTTTTTAAAAATTAATTTTTATATTATTTATATTTGTTAGAAATTAATTAGTATGTGATTGTTTTAATTAATATTTTGTGGATAATTATTAATATAATTAAAACTAAGAATATACAAATTACTATTTTGCTAAAGGAGTTTTGAGGGAAAAACGAATAAAAAATGACATTTTTTTGTTGTTGCTAATAGTGAAAATAATGGTTATCAGTTGTTAGATTAATCTTATTTTTTGTTCTAAAGTAGGGTAATGGCGTTATTTTTTGGTCTTATATGTAGCGTGCAGGTGTGACAATTTTCCGATGTGATGAGAGGTATTTTATATTTAAAAGATATTTAACACGCAAAATAGACTTTTATGAATTTCTTTGTAATTTTAGCAAAATACAAAAGATGCCGACGTAAAAAGCCCAGAACTTTATGGAGGCAAAACATCATTAGATGACATAGATCTTCACAAATTAAAGAAAAAGCAATATATCTTGCTCGCCATATTAAACATATATATTACACATATTCTCTATAAATCACGCGCGTTAGCACTACAAATTATTTGATCATATATAAGAAAATACATGGCCTTGAACATTTTTATTAATGTTTACCCATAAATGGATGTTTTTCTAATTCAAATTCATGCTAAAAATGGACCCAAAATTAAAAAATGAAGTACTGGTATTAAATCTCATTTTCATAAACACGTCATCTTAAAAATTATTACATCAATTCTAGACTTGTTGACAGGGAATGTCCGTACTGACGCTATCAGTTTCAATTCCGTCGTTGAAACCCCCACCATGCCATGACACCAACTTGGAGAACTGCAAAAAGGCCTCAAACCTACAACTAGCAGTGTTTTACGGCGCGCTCTACACTCTAGCCGTCGGAACCGGCGGGACCAAACCGAACATCTCGACGATTGGCGCGGACCAATTCGACGATTTCCACCCAAAGGAGAAGGCTCAGAAGCTGTCCTTCTTCAACTGGTGGATGTTCAGCATCTTCTTTGGGACGTTCTTCGCCAACACGGTTCTTGTTTGGCTACAGGATAATGTTGGTTGGACACTTGGATATGCTCTCCCAACGCTCGGACTTGCTATTTCTATTGGGATATTTGTGTCCGGGACACCATTTTATCGGCATAAAGTTCCCACAGGGAGTCCCTTTTCAGGAATGGCTCAAGTCATTTTGGCTTCCGTTAGGAAATGGAGAGTGCCTCTTCCTAATGACCAAAAAGAACTCTATGAGCTTGACTCCGCAGTGTATGGGAAGAAGGGAAATTACAGAATTGATTCTACCCCAACATTAAGGTTAGTGTGTGTGTGTGCGCATACATTTGAAAGGATATATATATATATATATATATATATATATATATATATATATATATATATATATATATATATATATATATATTGGGTAAAACTTGGACCGCCTTCAGTATAATTAATAACACAAATCATAATTGATTTTGGATAATTAATATCCTGGCATATGTAGAAGTGAAATATACTTAATGGAGTTACAGCTCTCTATAAGGTTAATTCAATGCAATTCACTGCAACAAAAAAAATTATTTGCGACGACTAAATGTCGTCGCAAAAGAGTACGTTGTCGTCGGTAATATTATATTTGCGACGACATGTGGTCGCAAATTAGTCGCCGTAAAAAGTTAGACGCAAATGATATATTTACGACGATAAAGTTTTGATATGTCGTCGTAAATATATTAGCGACGACAGTCGTCACGAATAAGTCGTCACGAATATTCCGTCGAATATGTCGTTAATGATGACGTATCATGCCATATTTGCGACGACATAGTGTCGTCGCAAAAGTGTTTAAACTTTTTGCGACTAAACCGTCGTCGCTAGTAATGTAAACTATTTACAACGACGCTTTAGATATGTCGTCACAAATAGTATTTTCTTTTTTTCCGTACTTTCCTAATAATATTAATTAATAAATATATAAATTTGAAAAAAATTTAATAATAAAATAGAACAATATAATTGATAGAAAATAGTCAACACAATAATAAAATAAGTCTTAAAAAGTAAATTAATCAAGAAATACTAAAAAGTATTGATAATAAGAAAAATAAAAACATATATTTTAATCTCCTAAATTAGCAGCATCGTCATCCTCATTCTCGTCTTCTTCATTTCGCTCAGGCGGCGGAGGAACCAACGGTTGGGGACGGTTAATTAGCAAGAAGTTGATGTTGAGATTCATCGAGTGCATGACTTCCATCATGATCTGCTGGTTGTCGAACATATTGCATTGTTCAATGTAGAGGTTGTTCAGCCAGTTTTGGACATGCTGGGGCAAATTAACCGAAGATGACCCGTCCGATTGCGAAGTAGATGATAAGGTTAAAGCGCTTGAATGATTCCTCTGTGGCAGTGTCGGTCCCACTCCCTTAGTGTGTCCTCTGCGCTTTCTCAAGACTTGGGACATAATTCCCTTCTCATTGACCGCCGTGGATGAACCTTCCCCAGCAGACTGTGTCGTCTATGTGATTCTTTGCACCTCCATCTAAGCATGCAAAGGTAAATGAAATAAAAATAAATAAAAATAGTATAATATGTTATGTTAAATATGAAAAAAGAAATAAGTTTGTCACCGCCTTTTATTTTACTGAAGGAATACAAAATCACTTTTTCTGATGACACATATTAATGTCGTCGCAAAAAACGTTTGTCACCTGCCAAAATAATCCTTTTTGCTCAGGGGAAAATAAATAAATTAAATTTTATTTGCGACGACACGTGTCGTCGCAAATAGTTAATTATTTACGGCGACATGTTGTCACAAATAATGTTATTTTGGCGCTAAATATTCGCGCCAGACAAGATCTGGCACCAAGCAAATATTTGCTATGACGAGTGAGGTTTTAGCGACGACAATATGTTTTCAGTTTTATGAAAATATTTGCGACGACATGTCGCCGTCAATATTCACTTATTTGCAACGACAATTGTCGTTGTAAATAGCCCAAATTGTAGTAGTGATTATAGATGTGTAGAAGACTTTTGTTTTGTGTTTCTTTGATTTTCTTTGTTTTGTTTTGTTTTGTTTCTGTAGGGTGTGTTCAATAGTCAATATTTACAATAACATTTATCAATACTGTTTTATGTGTATTTCAAGATGATGTGTGACTCGAATCTATATTATACTATATATTCTCGCAAAACATAATGGTAGGGATACTCTAATTTTATTTTTATTTATAAAAATTTAGACACACTAGAGTGGTAATCTGTAATTTATTAATTCTTTGAAAAATCAAGTTAACGGCCTGTTTGGTTTATAAGTTTAAAAAGAAATTTATTTTTTGTGAGAGTAAACACAATATAATAAAAAGTTTAAATAATGGTTCAAATTCGGGAAATAAATGGTCTAACTCCACCCTTGTGGGGTGATTGAATCCAAGGACTTTCTTATTTTATTTTCTTTTCATTCCCAATGCACTAATTAATTAGTGTTGGACAGATTTAAATATCAATATAACTTGATTATTGTGTTAAGTGATACTCTTTTTTTTTTTTGTTTTTTTTTTCTTAGTGACTCTTGTTTTAAAGTTATTATATAGAACATAAGAATTTGAGCTCATATTTGTGTGAAACTGTAGGTTCCTCAACAAAGCTGCAGTGAAAACAGGCTCAACCAGCTCATGGATGCTATGTTCAGTTACACAAGTGGAAGAAACCAAGCAAATGGTAAGAATGTTACCAATCTTGGTCTCCACTTTCGTACCATGCGTTATGCTTGCACAAGTAAACACTTTATTCGTCAAGCAAGGAACCACTCTACAAAGGAAAATTGGCAGCTTCAAAATCCCGCCTGCGAGTCTAATCGCTTTTGTTACCTTTTCAATGCTTGTCAGCATAGTCCTCTACGACCGGTTCTTCGTCAAGATCATCCGAAAATGGACCAAGAACCCGAGAGGAATCACTCTCCTTCAAAGAATGGGAATTGGAATGGTTCTCCACACTCTACTCATGGCAGTCGCTTCAATTATCGAGAGACACAGACTTAGTGTAGCCAGAGAACATGGGGTTGTACAAAATGCAGGCCAAGTTCCTTTGTCAATATTCATTTTGCTTCCACAATTTGTGCTAATGGGAGTTGCCGATGCTTTTATAGAGGTTGCAAAAATCGAGTTCTTTTATGACCAAGCGCCGGAAAATATGAAGAGCCTTGGGACTTCATATTCAATGACTACTATAGGAGTTGGTAGCTTACTTAGTAGTTTCCTTCTTTCAACGGTTTCACATGTTACTAAGGAGAATGGTCACCATGGATGGATTCTCAACAACCTCAATGACTCTCATCTTGATTATTACTACGCGTTCCTTTCGTTGTTGAGCTTTTCAAACTTCATCTTCTTCTTGTTTCTTTCCCAGTCTTATGTGTACAAAGCTGAGGTTTCAGATTCGATTCAAGTTCTCACTGAAGAATTGAAAGCGACGAGGCTAAGGGCGTTGGATGGTGACCAAAATAATCAATGATCAGTTAGGTGGCACGTCAAAGAATGGAGTTTTGACTCATACTTTTGTGGCATGTTCTTGGTTGGTGGAAGCTCTTTTTAGTGAAAGGCCTTTTATAGAGAGGTCCCTCTATAATTAGCCTTTTGGGGGTGATAGTGGTTTATGAATTCAATATGTACTTCTGGTTTTGGTTAATTTCCCCATGTAAAAGTTCACTGTCAAAAGTAAAGAAAAGAAAAAAGTTTAGGCTCCTGTAATCGTGGTTTTTGAAAATGATGCTTTAGTCAATAGATTAGTCTTGTAGTGGTTTGATCTCAACAATGGGATTTATCTAAACCAAATAAAATCTGTAACAATAGAAGTCATGCAATTTTCCAACTTTTGCATTTCTTGTTGATTATTGTGGAAAGAATGTTAAATAAATTTTAGAGTTAATTTCTACAAGGTCAAATCCATTTATTCATGCAAGCTTTTAAACTTAGCTATCCTACTACCACCAAAGAGATTCTAGAAGCTAGGAAATGGAATTAATGACATTGCAACGTATGACCATATATCAGAAGCAGAAATGCTTGAAATAGGAGAAGATAAAAATAGAGAAATGAATAACCTTTGTGTCATGGTGAAGAAACTATATGATATCATGGCCTTTAATTTGTTTTCTTAGGTTGAGAAATACACCATGATCCAAGCTTTATATATACAGAAGTACTACTTCACTTCTTTGATACAAATATATTTCCAAGAATCATGCATGAGAGAAGAAATATACCCAAAAGCAAAAACAGATTAGTACAATGCATATCTCTCAAACCCCCAACAAAAATCTTAATGAGATTTACCATTAAAACTTTTAATTTAAAAGTGTACAATATTTATAATTTTCTTTTTACACAACATGTTCACCTCATTTTTTTTCCTCCGATTCTTTTTTTCCCATGTTAAAAGTCAATAGTACAACAAGAAATGCACCACAATGAAAACTTTTATCTTCTTCTTCATCTCCTCTTTGCCAATTGGAACGTCCTCTTCAAGAACTGATTGGCCGCTATGTCATTCCTATGGCACATCACTCTCAATATCGTGTTCGCATCCGACCGGTGCCACCTCCCGGTGGTCGGAGGCATCGGCAACTTTTGCCCTATAATACTCATCAGCCCTATCCCACTTGTTTCACAAGTAACAATGCTGAAATCCTCCATGAGCTGCTCAGTGCACTGCCCCATCAAGGTTATAACACCTTCCACCGTCTCCGCCTCCCGCTCCACCACGCCCTCTGCAATAAGCCCTTCCCCGCACATGCAGAAAACCCTCTTCAACGCGTCGAAGTCCTCCTCAATCATCTCGTGGTCCGACCGTAAAAAGATCCTAGAACTTCCTCCAGCAAGCAGCGCCATCAAAAAGGCCTCGAAAGAGGCCTTCATGACCTCCCTCATCGCCAATGCCTGAGCTCTATCGTCGAGAATCGCAGCCATGAGAGTTAAATTCTGCTTTAGTATTCGCAGCGCGGGCTTAATTCTCGCGTTGGCGACGTGAGTTAAATTCTGCTTTAGTATTCGCAGCGCGGGCTTAATTCTCGCGTTGTTGACGCTCCCGCCTGCGTAGAGGCTGTCGTAGAAGACAGGGTTGGAGTCGAGGAATATTAACCGGTAGGCCGCCAATTCGGAGACGTGCTGGCCGGCGGATTGGACGGCGGATTGAGTGCGTTCGAAGCCGGTGGAGCTCGGTTTTCGGGCGTTGGAGAAGCGGTTTCGGGAGGAGGGAATGATTCGGGGGGAGAGGGAGAGGGATTTGTCGAGGGAATGGAGATGAGAGAGAAGGTAGTGGAGCGAGTTGAGACGGATGTAGAGGCGTTGAGTTCCTCGGCTTGTTGATGGGCGTGGGTGGTGGCCTTCGTTGGGTGACATTCCGTTTTGGTAAGAGATTTCTTCTAGGTTGGCCCCACATGGGGTGGCTTTCTTCCATAGCTTGAGCAACTTTGAGTCTCGGTTGCATCTTGTTAGAGGAGGAAGTGCGGGGACATAACTCTGTTTGGTGCCTGAGAAAAAAAGTAGGGAAAAGTAGGGAATAGTGTGGTATGAATATATATTTCTACTTGGTACAAAAATATTGCTTTATTTTGCCGGAGATTCTTGAGTAATTGGTGGAATTTTGTTGAAATTGATGTTTATACATATGTGTGTTGTCCGTCTTAGCTTTGTTCAAATGGCCTTGTCCGAGATTCTTAATTACTTAGTGGAATTTCGTTGAAATTTATTTTTGTAAATATGCACACACACACACACACACATATATATACATATTTTACGATGCTGTTGATTATGTATTGTAGGAATGTAAACATTAATGAAAGAAAAAAAAACACGGTTTAAATCTTGAGTGTTGTGAGATTTCAAAATTTATAGGTATTGTTTAGTATCATCTGTGCGCTTTTGCTTTGTTCAAACTTCAAATACTTTATTCGAGATTCTTTTAATTTTAATTAATGGTGGAATTTGTTGAAATTGATTTTGTAAATATGTTTTTTGCACGATGTTGTTGATTTTGCATAGTAGGAATGTACACATTAATGAAAGAAAAAAAAAAAGAAAACAGGTTTAAATCTTGAGTTGTGTAAGATTTTTGAAATTTTGTAAGCTTCATTAAGAGTAAAATTGTCATTTTCACTTAATTTTTATCCAACTTTTACCATTTTTTTAAAGTAAATCATGCTTAGTGTAATTTCCGTAACGTAAATTACTGTTCATCTTTGGCCAAAAAAATCAGTAAGAAAGGTAGAAATATAAAGCTAACTATAAATGGACTTGTTCACTTACCACATGATGCAACAAATGTAGTGTACTCTTGGAAGAGTTTCTCCAAACCATCAGCAAGATCTTGAACTAAATCTTCAGTGATGCCTATTGGGATTTCAAAGAACTCATCCACTGCTTCCTTAGCCAATCTCATTAAATCCACAGCTGATTGTGCATATGGCTCTGATTTAGACATTGGATTCCATGTCTGCCACAGAAAAAAAAAAAAGACCAATTATCGTTTTTATTTGAGAACTTTTTATAGTAGGATATCTCTATCGATAGTACATACTTCTAAACTAAAGTCGATCAAATTCACGTCAAAATACAAAAAGAATGCAAAATTAGAAGTTTAAAGTACAAAGTTTAAAATTGAATCCTACCAACAAGCTATTTTTTATTTCTTACCATTGAAATCCCGCCATATTTAAATTAAATTGTATCACACATGAGTACTTATTTTCTTTTTATAAGCTAAAACTTACTTCTGTTTCTTTTGCCCTGGTAAGGCACTCTTTTCCTTTGACCAATCTCTCATCAATCCACTTCTTCAAAAGGTTCAAAATGACATGATCAACTTCATAAGGAACCATCTCCCTAACAATTGATTTGCCTCCATCTTCACATTCTGCTGAGTCTTCAACCACCATTTGGACCAACATCTTTTCCAGCTTCCCAGCTCTCTGTAGCACTCCGACCGTATCATTTGTCAATGTTGAAATCCCACTTAAGTACTGCTTCAGCACAGCTCCATAGCAGTTGTGAAGTGTCACCGCCGCAACCGCTGCCGCCGTCGGGCGCCACTTCTTCAGTATGGGGCTGAAGCATTCCCTCTCCTTTAAGGCCAAATCCTCCGTCTCTTTGGCTAAATGAAGTATAGCTTCACTTGCCTCCTCCTCCTTTATTTCCTTGGCATTCCCACTCTCAATTATCTATATTTCATGAACAAGCACATGATGGAACAAGGAAACTGATGAGAAACATTAGTATTTGAAGAACAAAAATAGTAATAATAATAAGCATACACCAAAAATGTTTACTGCTACTGATAGCTTGTTAGAATTATGCCATACTTGAAACTAATACTAATAATATATAGACTGATTACAAATACATCTGTGTAGTTTGAACTCTTAACAACACAATATTTTTTAAGATTTTTTTTTCCCTGAAAAACAACCCCGTTCTCTTTTTCATCTCGTCTCTCAGCTCTGTTTTTATTTTTGAAGGAACTTTTTTATTTTCTTTCTTGCTTTTCTTTTTAAATTTTTTTGATGAATTAAATACCCATACATGTACTACATGTTAATTATATCACGACATTAACAAACTAAATTATTAATATGTATCATGTAATACATGACATCAGGATCCTTTCAAAAAAAAAAAAAAAATTGACATCGGGATATATACTTTTGTCCTCAGAAAGTGGAGGTTTAGATTATTTTTTTAAAAAAAGGTGAAGGGTTTACATTAATTTCTAGATATTGCAAGAAAATTAAGCACGAAAGAAAGGACGATACATGTCTATATTTTACAGTTTATTGCGAGTATCTAGAAAAGCAAGGTTCTATTGAACATCCAAAAGCACATATATGCTTCCATGAAAATTAGCATAGAGAACATACACATAAAAATGTAGAGTTAATATTTATTATCCACTTCCTTTCTGATCCCTATTTATTTTTCTAATAGCATTTTGACAATTCATTTAATTGCGTATTTTAATATTATTTATTAATATGTGGCCAAATTCTTACAAAAAAAATGCGATTCACATATGTGTGTATATGTGATATAAAGAAATGCGATTCAATATATGAATTAGAAATACTGACCTTTGCAAAGGCATTCTTGACCGAAGACCTAATGTAATAGTCAACCCGATTCCCAGACGAGTCCACCAGCACCATTGTATCCCTCTTCTCCTCCCCATCACCGCCGCCGCCGCCACCACCTTCTACGATCGTAACATCCTCTCCCAATATCCTCGACGCCGACAGTGCCAGCGGCAAAAGGCTCTCTATCTGCCCCACCGTCCCTCTCAAGAAATACTCATGGTATCTCATCAACCTCTTCTCCGCCCACCCTTTCATCGACCCCAAAACCGACGACAATATCCTCGTATAAACGACATCCCTCTCGCTCTTCCTCGCGTCGCTCGCCACCTCCGTCGCCAGCATCGCGTGCGCCGCGCCCAGCAGTTCTGGCTCCACCATCGCCGTCGCGACGTATTGGTGGAACAAGACCCACGTGAAGCACGCGTTGTTCGTTGCCCTAGTGATGCCAAACGTGGACCACGTCTTTTTCATGAGCTCTAGGAGCTCGTCGACCTCGTCGAGGACTAGGGTTTCGTCGCGGATGTCGAAGATGGAGCGGAGGAGGGCGACGTAGAGGTGGACATTGACGGGGAAGCCGTCGGCCCAGTGGCAAACGTCGGCGGGGGTGGAGCCGTTGGGGCTGCGCCAGGAGAGGGAGACGACGGAGTTGCATAGGGTTCGCATGGTGTCGGAGTTCTTGCCGGTGTCGATGGACTTGGACTCGCCGGAGCGGACAATGTCGCGGAGGCGGGCGGCGAAGGGGTTCGACTTGTCGAGGGGGATGGAAGGGTGGAGGAGGAGGCCGGACTCGAGGATTTTGAGTTGTCGTTTTTGCCAGAGGTAGTACTCGTGGGAGTCGTTGAATTCGGAGGGTTTGAGGTTGCGGAGGAGCTCTAGTGGGAGGATTATGGTCTCTGCTCGCCTTCCCATCTGTATAAGCAAAAACATTAATCACAAACTTGTGAATTAATATAATTAGAACCGGTTCAGATTTAGTTAAAAAATAATATGTATTTGCGTGAAGGTAATGCTATATTATATGTAGAAAGATCAAACCAGTATTGATACGAATGATCATGAATATTATTTTTTTTTTAAAAAGAATGATGATGAATTCTAATTGGAGATTAATTAATCAGTACTCATCAAATTACAAATTACGTTTGAATTACTTGTTGAGATTTGTTATGTTGATTCTTGTGATTTCTTTTCTATATTTAGAGATTTTGTGGTTTGGACCGTCAATTAGAAGCAATTTGGTGATAGTTGTCAATTAGTTTACTTTCCAGTTTGTATTAGTTTTCCTTTTTTTCTTGATATTTCTTCCCCTATAAATAGGGCGAGTATTCTTTGTAGTATGTGAATTAATGAATAAAAAATGTAGTCTCTTGTCTATTCTCGTTCTCCCTTTCCCTTCTGTCTTTCTTCAATTTTCATTTTCTTTTATTTCTTTCGTTCTTTATTTCAAAGTATTTTGTTCTCTATTTTTCAATTTGGTATCAGAGAGGGTTTAAATCCTATCTCTATGTCGAAAAAATCCATCTGCCCTTATTATCATGCTGCAACTACCTGTTCGTGTGCCCAAAAAACTTTGCCGTCAAGTCCGTATCTCCCCCTTAAAGGTTCTGGCATCTTTTATATATTAAGCTTTTTTGTTTTGTTATTTGCCGTTTATAGGCTTTACTTTAGCCCATTATCGCATTTTTTTTAAACGGAAAAAGAAAATTTAAAAAAAAAAAAAGAGGAAGGAGAAAGGGGCATGCAGACCTAAGGAAAGGGATAGTGTAGTGTTTTGTTGGAAGGTGGGAAAAAAAATGAAAAAAAAAAAAAAAAAAACAGAGAGAGAAAATAAATATTTGAAAAAAAAAATTGTGTGAAGAAAGAACAAAGAAAAAAATGTTGAATCTGAAAATAAAAAAATATTGAAAAAAGGCCCAAAAAAATGAATTGTTTGATCTCTTGATAATTGATCATGTCAAAAAGTACTGGTGAAGAGTGCCGTGATCTATTGATACTTGATTATTGATCCTTTTAAAGAACGTCCATCAAAGAAACAAAAAAAAAAAAGAAAAAAAAATGTTGTGAAGCTCATACAAATTTGAGCCTGACACCGAAAATTGGTCTTAATTGATCCTCTTGAAAATTGATCTCTTGATCTGAAACCATGTGAACTTGAGCTATGCATGTTGATCTGAATGATCTTTTGATCCATTAAATCCAAGTTCCGAATATTCAAGCGCAGTTGACGATTCCGCAAGTTTGAACACAGCTGATGATCTCTTGTTACTATTGATCTCTTGATGCGTTGTTGAAAAACGCAATCGATCCTTTGAAGCACCATTAAAGAGCGCGATTGATTTGTTGAAAGTGCTGATGAAAATTTGAAGCACTGATCTTTGTTTGTAAGCTGGATGAACCAGCTTGAGGCGTAGTGTTGAGATTTATTATGTTGATCCTTGTGATTTCTTTACATATTTAGAGATTTTGTGATTGTCAATTAAGGACAGTCAATAAGAAACAAATTAGGGGATAGTTGTCAATTAGTTTATTTTTCCGTTTATATTAGTTTCCCTTTTTTCTTGATATTTCTTCTCCTATAAATAGAGGGAGTATTATTTGTAAATATGTGAATTAATGAATAAAAAATGTAGTGTCTATTCTCGTTCTCCCTTCTCCTTCTGTCTTTCTTCAAATTTCATTTTTTTTTTTTTTTTGTTTCTTTCGTTCTTCATTTTAAAGTATTTTGTTCTTTATTTTTCAATTTTAGTTACATAATTTTCAGTAAGTACATCGTAGAAAATCTCGATTCAAGTATTCACCTGTGTCGTTAAATTAGCATTTCCAATGCTCTGTGACAATATTAAATTTCTGTATTTTATTCTTAAATTTGGTGCTAATTTTAGTGTTTAAATTTTTCATGCATTATATATACCTGGTCCTCATTTATTGAGATTTTTAAATTATTCAAGAATTTAATATTTAATTTTACATATTTTGAAACTCAAAATTCATTGAAAATTCATAATAACATTTTGTATTAAAGTAAAAAAAAATTAAAAAAAAAACATTTGGTACCTTGGTTTTTTTTTTTTAACCAAATAATGTTGCATTCACATTATTTGCATTGGAGATGGTTGATACTGCTAATAAACTCAATTTGTGAATTTTGAGTACTTTAAAATATGAATGAATTAAAAAAAAAAACACAAATAATGCTATTATTGTCGTTTTGCTTGTAGTTTTATGTTTTTCTTGAAAAAGTTGTCATTTCTAAACAGGATATATTTATCATACGTTATTCTTTTTCTATTATCGTCGATCAAATTGGTTAATGTTGGAAACAAAAGCATAGCTTATTTGTTGCTGTTCTAAAATGGTTAATCTGGTCAAGAATTTTAGCATGCATTTCCATTATTATATGTATTCTTCGTATTTCATTTTTCTTAACATATACTTAGTAAATACGTACTTGGCCTACAAGGGTCCTCATGAGCGTCTTCCTCAGCCGGTTGTCACTCTGCTCCGTCACCCTCATCTGCTGCCTCATTATCTCCGCCGACGTCATCGGCCGCCTCGGCCTAGTCAGCTGCGGCACGGTGAACGACATCAACGGCGACCCCCCGTTCGATCCCCCATGAGAGCTCGGTGACCCCGGATTCGACCCCCCGCCGCCGCCAGACACCATCCTCCTCGACGGAGACCGCTTCAACATCTTCAGCCCTAGAGCCCGCTTCACCCTGCTCGTCGGCGTCGTTATCACGACGCCTCCGCTGGGCTTCGGACTCGCCGGACTCGCCGGCCCATTACCACTGCCATTCCCGTCACAATTATTATTGTTATTGTCGTGGTTATTGGAGGAATAGAAGGACAAGGCGTTCCGGCCGCCACCGAAGCCCGGTGATGACCGGCAGGCCGTGAAGAAGATCTCGTAGGCGGTCTCGCGGACGTCGTCGGAGTCGATGCCGTCGAGCTTTCCGAAGGGCCACTCGAGGTCGGTCACGTACTCACCGGCGGACCGGGCTGACGTGGGGAACGGCCCGGAGAGGGATTCCCTGCGCGTGTGGTGGCCCATCGCCGGCGCGTTCGGGAACGTCCGGCGAGAGGTGGCTCTTGTGGTGGCGATCGTCGTCGTCGTCGTAGTCTTCGTTGTCGTCGGTCGAATGGAGGTCAGATTTCCGGCGACGGGAGAGAGCGGGGAGAGCTTATGGGCATTTCTCTTATAAGAGAGAGAGAGAGAGCTTGATCATGTGGTGGTTTTGTTGGTTATGGACAGCGGTTTTGTGTTAAGAGAGAGAGAGGCCTAATATTAAGGTGATGGCTTAACGAGAGAGAGAGAGAGAGAGCGAGAGAGAGAGATTGAGTTGTGGTAAAGGATTGCCAACGTAGTTTTGCTTTTGCCATGAAAACGAGAAAACTATGCGTATGACAGAGGTACATAGCAAATAATTTTGGCAAAACTATTCTCTAGCTCTTCCGACTATTTCTGATCTGTTGCTGATTCATTTCTGTTTCTCTTTCTACTTAATTATAAGTATTTAATTTGTATACGTGTTGCCCCAAAAGCATGAGAAATGTGATGGCTAAAAAAAAAAAAAAAAAAAAAAAAAAACAGAAACAGAATGGTTACGGTTTTTGTTTCATGTCTTCTGAAATACGTATCATGATTAATGAAGATATATATATATATATACACACACACACACACACACACACACACACACAAATTGAGTAAATTGAGTTTTTTTTTTCTTCCCTGGAAATATCTCAACTACGGTTGCTTTCTCAGCAAAAGTAGACATATGGGGTGCACTTTGTTAAAAGTAAGTTTGTCACCAAAGTCCGTTCCACAAATGAACCAATGAATGTTTCCTCATGCAAACCAGCAACAAGTAAACAGCCCCAGTCTAATTGCAAGGCCATTAAAAATGACGACCTTGACACTGAATCACAGACAATGGGTACTGATATTGTTTCTAGACACTTTTGATCATCATGGTAATCAAATATTAGGCATTCGCCATAACTTCACTCATCTTTCAGGTACTGCAACAGCGAGATCCCGCCCGTATGAAGTTTGCACTGCTAACTTTTGGAAGCCTCCTTTGTTTGAATGCTGCAATGAGGAGGGACCTGGCCACTTGAAATTGTAAGCATAGTATTTGATCATTGCTTTGAGCAATAGAAAACTTTCATTTTTCTCCAAAATTAGTGTAGGCTTGACTCAAAGAAACATTTTCTTTTTGCAGATTTACTTACAAGGTTTTGGTTGAAATAGAAGAAGCTCAGGATATTATTTTGGAGTGCTTTAGTTCAGCTCATCCCAAGAAAAAAACAGCAGCAGAACATGCTGCGGAAGGGGCACTCTGGTTCTTGAAACAACAAGGTTCACTACAACAATAAAGGTCATTTGCGACGACATTATTTGCAACGACATTTGTCGTCGCAAATATTTCATTATTTGCGATGACATGTCATTGCAATTAACCCCCGTTAAATAAATTAAGTATGTCGTCGTTAATAAGTTTAATGTCGTCGCAAATAGTTTAGGCGCGCAATTTCCAATGGCGCGGATTTTTACCGCCAAAGGGAATCCATTTTTTGCAACGACTTGTCGTCGTAAATATCATTTTATTTGCGATGACACATGTCATCGCAAATAATACCACTCTATTTGCGACGATGTGTTCTCTTTGTCGTCGCAAATAAGCTTGACCGGTGGAATGATTATTTGCGACGACATATTGTCGTCGCAAATAATTTCAGATGTTGGGTATTTGCGACAGCATTGTAATTTATTTGCGACGACATTGTCGTCGCAAATAATTTCAGATATGGGGTATTTGTGACGGCATTTTAAATTTATTTGCGACGACAATGTCGTCGCAAATAAGTCTGATCTATTATACCTTAACTTCTTCCTCTTTATTTTCTCCCGATTTCACTCTCTCTCTCTCTAAACAATCTCCGCCTCTTCTTCTCCTCACCGCCGCCGCCGCCACCTGCCGTCCATGCCGCCACCTGCCGCCCTCCGTTCTCTCTCTCTATTCCCTTCTCTCTCTCCTCTTCTCTCTCTTCTTAACTTTCTCTCTCTCTTCCCTTTTCTCTCTCTCTCTCTCTCTTCCGCTCCCCTCCCTCTTGTTCCCATCTCCGGCCACCCATCCCGCCGCCCCGCTCCCGCCGGCACGCTCCTGTTGGTTATCGAATCGAATTCGGATGCGGAAGCGTTGGGGGAGGCGGATCGTGTATAACAAAAATTTTCATAAAATCTTTGAGATACTCTATAGATTATATTAATTTATGCACGAATAAATCAATCTCATTAACTCATTTCTGCCACCCCTCCCCCACCCCCTGCCGAGACTCTCTCAAGTCGAGACTCCCTTGAGGTTAGTTAGTTTTTTTTGTTTTTTTGTTTTTGTAAATTTTATTTTTGTTGTTATTTGCATTGATTTGAAGAATGTTAGGGATTTTTTTTAGAGATTGTTGTTACTTGCTAAGTAAATGGAAGAAGGAAATAGAAAATAGAAAATGTTATGGATTTTTGTTCGAGTTTAGTCATTTTTTATGGTTATGAGAATTTAATTGATCAAGAATTGTGTCTATATGTTATTCTAGATGTTAAGAAAATGTTAATTTTGTTGTTTGAAAATTATGTTCGATGTTTTGTTTTGGTGTAGGCGTTTGATTTTTCACCTCCGTCATTGTTTGCACAGTTCCTCTGACGTAATCCTACTATTTTCAGCCCCCATTTAGTGGGTTTGAACTTTGTAAGTTTTTTATATTTATTTAGTTTAAAATTATTGTAGTTTTTGGTTGTATGAATTCAAGATTATGATGAGAATATTTAAATTATGATTTTCTTATATTGTTGAAATTTAGTATATGTTTATAATTCTTATTCTGGGTGGCACATCTTGCAGCTATGGTGTGCCGAAATCTTTTAAAGTTATTTTTCTGCAGGTTTTGATTTTTGGATCATATAAAATATGTCATTATGCTGCCGAAATTTAGTTAGGATTTAAGAATTTTAATAAGTTCATTAAGAAACTTTAATTAATAAAATTTAATTGTCTTAATAAAGACTAGAATTAAAATTAATTAAACACATTAATAAATTGTTATGTATGTT